GTAATTACAATTTGTAGCAGCCTGCTCAGGCTCTTTACAAACCAACTACCTGACATGCTGAGCTGTGTTTGTGATGTGAAATTTCAGCAGCGTTAATGTCTGGCTGACAGTCTGCTTTTTAATTAAGCAATCCAAGTTTTGTCATTCAAGTAGAGCAGGAATCTTCAATCATTTAGGGAAGCTCTACTGTTGCAAAACAGATGAGGCTGAAAGAAACCCTTCTGGAATATTTCTTCCTTCATTTTAAAATAAACACCCTTCTGGAACAAATGAGCAGACAAAAATTTCTTTAAGTAATACCAATATGATGTTTTTACATAGATTTGCCTTTCACAGGGAGAGTTTTTGAACAAATATCCTAAGGAAAAAAAAGGTGTACTGCACAGACTTGCAGAGATATGTTTCTCCAATGAAAGATAATGGGGAAAAAATATTTAGAACCTGAATACCTGAAAGACAGGTTAAAAAGTGTTTTGAATTTGAAGAGAGCAGTAGCTTCAGATATTTAACAGAAGCTAACTTCTGCTCCTCAGACATTTCTAGAAGTTTATCTTTATGGTTTTATATGCACACAGTTTGAGACTTATGCACACTTCAGGGGGGCTTTAAACTATACTCTTTACTTGTACAAAACCCTACATGCTTGCAGATGTTTGAGACCCTGAATGTTTTAAAAATGTTTGCAGAAAGTTATTTAGTAAGCTTTATGCCTGATGAAGAATACAATATTTTCTTAGAGCAAAAACTAGCAGTTAATTGTCAGGAAAATTTAATTACAAGAGGGATTTCCCTTGCTCTTTTAAAAAGGCAGTAGCATATTTCAAGCGTTCAGGAATTGCTGTTGAGGAATTTTCTCAGGCACAGAGTAAAACCTAATCTACCAGCTTTGGTGACAACACAGCAGAGGTACATATGCATGAACATGCTAATACTTTAACTGTACCCTAATTTTATAAAAATAATGTCATTTTGCATGCTTCAGAATATATATATATATTCTTAAAAATCTCTATTGGTTTGTATACAGAACTTAAATGCTAGACTCAAGCTGAAGTTCCTCTACAGTGCTTCAGTGCTCTCACATTCTTCAAGCATCCTTCAAGCAAAACAGTACAGAACAAAATAGAAACCTTCATATTTGGGTTTTAAAATTCAAATAGGGTCTTCTGCCAGATTCTTGCTTTGTCAAATCCCTTCAAGTTTTGCAAAACCAAGTTCATATCTCTGCGATGAATTAATGGTTCTGATGGTTGACCTCTGATGTCAGAGAATGTGAGATGAGCTATCAACCAAGCTGATTAGATCACCACAATGTCTAATGATAGTGAGTTAAATGATCATACAATAAATATGACAGACTAAATTATAAGAGCTGGATGAAATTAGGGTTCATGAGTACAATAATCCCATCTCAGATGTACAGAGGAAAAAGCTGACAAGTGAACTACAGGTAAAAGTAACGCTAAAGTTCTCCACACAAATACTTGGTTTGAAATTGCAGACTCTCTAGAAGCAAACTTCTCATTCTTGGGTCTCATGCTTAGATGTAAATAATGGCAGCCTTCACATCAGGTTTGCACAAGCAGTCATTTCTCATAAACAGAGAAGATCTGCCCATCTTTTCTATAATACAACTGTACTAAAAACAGTAAAGGCTCTTTAGAGAGGGAGAGATGTGAATGATTACAAAAATTAGAGGATGCACACAATAGATTCTCCTTCCATACCAGCTAACAGCAGCAGCATGAATATGAGGAAAATGCACTTTAATTGCATTGTCCTACACTAGTAGGACAATGCTACAGATGAAGCATAATACTGACTGCACAAACAGAACACCCAAAGCCAAACACTGGGTACTTCAGGATTAATGGTCAAATAAAATGATTGCATGTTGCTGGATACAAAATAAAATTAAGGAAAAAAAAATGGATTGAAAAGAACTGAAGGATGAGTCTGCTGTGGACTCCCAGGCACCTGCCTCACATTTTCACCACCATGTTGTGTAGAGAAGATTTTGTATCAGCTACTCAGACTATTTCCTTTAGACAATGCCAGCAGTAAAGGCCAGCAGTGTTGTCATTTAGCAAAGTCTCTCACACTGTGACAGCCTGTCTCTGCAGTGCAGGGAGCAAAAGCAAAGAAGACAGACCAAGTCTCAATTGGAGAGTTCTCAACCCCCAAAAGCTGGACAGAAATCAAGTGAATGAGTAGCAAAACGGATTAAGAGGAGTAGGCAGCATGAAAGCAGACAGTGTGTCCACAGCCAGCTCTGCTGTGAGAAAGTCTAGGACAGGACAAGGACGGGTTGTTTCCAATAATATTCCAACTTTGTAATGTGTACTGTACATCCAAGTTTTACCAATTTCATCTGGAAAGTCAGAGCACTTCGACATGGCTCACACCATTATTAAAACACATTATCAAGCAGTCTTATGCCAGTGGAACCCGAGAGATGCAAATATCCCCAGCAGAACATGAAAGTGCCCCTGTTTACCAATCTACCAGAAGAAACTGGTATTTCATTAGGGTGTGAATTTTAATGATTCTTAAGTGAAGACTAAAAATCAGCAGACGCTTTCTTACATCAATACCAGCATTTTAAAGAGCCTGAAATTCTGCCAAACAGCCAAAGGAAAGCTCTGCAGTGGGGAACACCCAGGCAAGGCAAGTCAAGAACTGCCTGCAGATTTCCAATGAATGTACACAGCATAACACCAACAGAAAGAGTGCTGCTGCATGAAGCTGATAGGCAGCTGTGCTTGCTCCACTTTCTGGAGAATGGCTGTCTTGGAACTCTCACTTCTTTCAGATCCAGCTGTGCCACACAATCTGCAGAGCATCCAACAGAATTAATTAACTTCAGGCTGATAATTTTCAATCCATGGGAAATGGACATCGCCTGTTTGAGCACACGATCTCCTTCAAGGAGCCCAAAGAAATGCTCAAGATTAAATGGACTGCACTCCTCCTTCCCCTAGTAAAACTCACTGAGCAGACAGCAGAGGCAGGCTTAAAACTGAAGTGTCACAAGCACAGACATACAGGTGACCACACAGGACCTCAGAACACTGAATGTTCCTTGTTGCACTGCCTCTGGGGAAACAAAATCTTCTTCAGGCTTCCCAGCACACAGAAGGAATCTACTTCATGGATACCTGTAGTCATCATGGAAATCAAAGCTAGCAGCAAGGTACTGATGCTAACAGAGGGCTCTATAATTGCTACTGCCCCAGGAGAGCCTGAAAAACCCCAGGGATGGTTTCTGCATTTGGAATCAAGGTGAGTGGGAGTTAATTTAATGAAACGAACAAACAAAATAAAATATCAAGGAAATATAGAGACTGAAGCAACACAATAAAAAAGCATAAAATACTGTTAGCTACTATGTCATAAAGTAATAAGTACAATGGAATAATGGTATATAGCTGACAGCTCAAAAGCTATCTCCATCTAGGTCAGTATTACAACTTTCAAAATCCAATAAATAGAAAGAATTTCTGCATCTGAACAGTAAAGTGTCCGACACTCCTGTTCCCATAACAGCTCAACCCAGGCTGTGTCCATCAACCTGGGAGGAACAGGTGAAAGCCACACACTGATACATGTCAGATCTCTCTCCCACTCTCAAAGAACAAGCACTGGTTATGTTCTCAGGGAGCACGTCAGAGAAATGATACAAACTACTCTTTGAAAAGAATTCAAGGCTCCTGTAATATACCTGAAAGCAGGCAACCCAAGAGTGAGGATTCTACACAAGGCAATTTCCCTTCAGGTGCTCAAGAATGTTTCAAATCAGACCACATAATATGATGATCAGCTAAAGCATGTGTGATGGTACCATCCACCATTCTTTGCTTCCTCCTAAAAAACAATGCTCTTCTACACAGTGACAGCAGAACAATTACCTCTAGTGTTTGGGAGGCACTTTACATTTTCAAAGCAACGAACAGAAAAGCATAATGTATTCATACAGAGCCCATAAAATAGAGCAGACAGGAGAAGAACACTGAATTTGGAAAAGCAGTCACAATGAATATGCAGTATTTTTTATGAATCATAATGGCATATACACTCAGGTGCTTTAAACTCATTTCAGTATACTGGAAAGAATGAATGAAATAGTTCTTTATTAACAACCTCCACTAAATAAAGATGCAGCTCAAATGTAAAATATAAAACTATTGCTAAGGCAATAGTTACAAATTTAACTGCCAACAGTAAGGCTACAATTTCAATAAATTTAATCTACTGGTAAAGTTTCTGGAGATAAAAATAATTTAGAATCAGTATCATTTAAAATGTTCTTCTACATTAGCTTCAAACTTATAAAATAATTTATATTAAAAATGAAAATGTTCAGACAGCACACTGAATACCTTTTCACTTCAACTCAGCTACATAAAGTTTTATATATATGATATTTACTCACCTGATGTTAAAAAAAAGTCTGCTGATAAATTTAAAAAAAGAAACTATTACAGAATGTTTACATAACAGATTACAGTCACTGAGACGAGAGTATCCAAAGCAGAACAATTACTACATAAGTCTAAAATGGGTTCTAAGGATGTGGCCAGGATATTAAGGATGAGAGAAGCAAACCATTTAAAATGCAGAATTTCTAAAATAATCCAAGAAGGTACTTTTTGCCCTTGCTTCCATGTGACTGTAAAGATTGCTCAACTCATTTTAGGAATAAGTTTAAATGAGGTCTCATTGTTCTGATGGTTATTCACAATTGTTCTTGCTTCCTGATCTAATAATATTGCTCATGTTGACTTTCAAACAGAAAACACATCATGACATCTTTAAGCTTAATTTGAAACCATAAGCTCAACCTGGAAAATTGAAGTTACTCTCCTACAAACCACAATCACATTAACTTGTCAGCTGAAAAACTCAGAAGAATAACAGCAACATGAACAGTTCCCCAGCCAAGAGGCAAGGCCCTCCTTCAGGCACATGGGCCAGCAGGTCCCTGCAGTGACTGCTCTTACCTAGGCCTATTCTGTTGGGACTCGTCTCCCGGCTGCAGCCCTGGCTCCGAGGAATCTTGCTGCGCTTCTCTGAGGAGGATGGCACTGCCTGGACTCGGGATGTTCCACTGCTCAGGCCACCATAGGAGCTTCCTAAGAGCTTACCCGGAGAACTAGAGCGGCTACCAGCTAGGAGAGAACCAGAAACGAGGAACAAACAATTAAAATCCCCCAAGATTTTAAACACACTGACAGCAAAACTGGAACACAGTCAACTCTATGTAAGGATCTAATCCAAATCCCTCAGAAAACTAATGGGAGTGTTCCCTATAAGCTTTCAAGAAGACTGAGAAAAGCCCATGGACAATGAACACTGACATCAGGAACCCTCTGCTACCCATGTAGATCAAGCCCAAAGCAGACACTGCAGTGTATGAACACCCTAGTTGGCTTTTGGAGAGCTTGTGGAGGTGCTGGGGCAGCCTTGCTGCAGCAGCAAGGGATTTCGAGGCTGCCTCACCTCCTCATAAAGCAACACCAACCAGGCTGTGTGCAGAGCTGTGCTGCAGTGCCCTGGCTTCTGGCACAGGTCACCTGCTGCAAATCAGCTCAGGCACCTTCGTGCTACACTGCAGTGGTGGCATTGCTTTCCTGCAATAATTCAGTGAAGGAAAATAAAAAACCCACCACATCTGAACAGATCAGCACAATAATGGTAAATCCCATGAGCCTCACACTCGCAGAGATGCTGGCTTACTTAGGTCTGGCTGGTTAAACATAAATCATTTATTTTTCAGATGATGAAAATTTTTAGCAAGTTGATTAGTTGGCCTGTTTTATTTTTCCTTGTCTATTTGAATAGTACATGGCAACTTTACATTTCTTCTATGAAATGAATATGTGAGCCCCTGAAAATCTGTGGTTGCCATTGCTATTTCTGACATTAAATTTATTTGCTGAAACAGCCTGGAAAAGTATATTTGAAAGGGTTGCAAGAGCATACTCAGGCAAGCTCACATTTTGAACCAATATTCACACTGATTTCTTGCTGAAATGCATCTCACATCTCAGAAAAATTTCATTTCCAAATACTATTACAACTAGAGTACAATGAAAGTTGAAGATTGTTCTTCTGTCTTAATGTAAGAAGATAGGGAATTCTATTAGCATCACGAACAATACCATAGCATATGTATAAAGTTACTTGCCCCCTCCAATTTCTTGGCCAGAGCCATTCTGAACCAATCAAATATACTCCAATACTGTATGAGATGCCAGCTCCATTCTCCCCCCCCCCCAAAGTGACAGGTGCCAGTCTTCCACACAGCACCATGACCTATGAGTCACTGGTGTGAGCAGGGATGAACTGAAGCAACTGAGAGAAGAATTCAGCTCCTGGAGTTTGAGCTGCAGCAGTGAGCCAGCTTTGACATCAGAACATACGCTTACCATGTTTGATTAGTGGGAGAAAGCAAAGTCCCCTGCCATACACATTTTGATTTATGACTTCAACAAAATGCATTTAAGTCTTACAGTTAGGAGAGAATGAGGAAAGCTAAAAGCTTAGCAGTTAAAAAATGTGAAGGAAATAACGTGAAAAAGCAAGAAAGGGAAAATGTTTCTTACCACCAGCAGGATTAGCTGATCTGGATCCTTGATTATGAGGGCAGACCAAGGGACAGGCAAAAAGTGGATTAAAAGACAGCAAGACAATACAGCGTTCAGCATGCGGTTTGTGCTATACACAATACACACAGATTTATTTACAAACATGTCACTCCTAAAGCCTCTGCAGAATGCAGTGAGTTAATGTGCAGATGCAACTAAACTTCCCAAGGTTGACCAACTTCTCAGCAAAATGTCAACCAAGACCCAAGTTCTGCTCTAAACTGCACCCCAACCCAGTCTGCAAAATTACAACATGGTTATGCACTGTGTGGGCATGGAGAATCTGGTCCTGTGACCAATTCAACATATTTGAATTTGTAAATTATTCCATGCAACATTTGTTTAAGGATAAAGATCACATCTAGTTGAGAAACTCAGCAAACTAGACCAAGACAGCAGGTCCAGATATGACCACCTGAAATCTTCATAAGGCATTCTATAGAAATATTAGGTCCATAATCTTTGAAACCTTTAAAGAATAACTATTATTTAAATACTTCTGAGATTTGTCTCATTTGGTCTGACCATTTTTCACCAAACTAAGAAAAAAGGTGACTTCTGGCTTTGGATAAGTTCTAAGTACAATACTGAAAATATCAATTTACATTAGCATCCCAAAGCCCAAATATATCCTTATGACCTCAATGTAAAGATTTCCATTTGGCCCCATGCTCAATATACTATGTCTTTCTGCAGATCTCCCAGTCTAACACAAGGCTATAAACAGCTTTTTCAACCCTTCAGCATGACAGAGCAAAGCAATGAAAGAATGAACAGAGAAGGGCTTTCAAATAGGGGTACAAAGCAAGACAAGTCCTCAGAACAGACAGGTCCTTCACAATCCCAATCTCCTATTCACAAGGCTGAAGGTCCTCATAACAGGGAGTTTCTCGTTCCCCCCAGTTTCTTTTTAGAGTCTGAGTGACAAAATTCTCCTCAGATACACATGACAAATATGCAGCAGCACCGTATGTGTGGCTCCTAGGAGAAAACCATGCCTTGCCAGGAAGCCAGAGAGCGCAGATGTGTCATGTGAATCAAAGCAGAACCCTTTTTCTCATATCTACACAAAATAGGTAATGTCCTATTTTCAACTGATGCCAAACCCCATTAATTTTAGACAGCTCACGTGTTCACACATACAGAAATAGTCACATAAGCAGGAGAGGCTTGGCAGGGCAAGCAGTCAGCTACAGGCACAGGGGGTGTCTCAGCAGACACAGTGCCAGTTATTTAGAGCTACACATCACAGTGACACGAAATTCTGCCGCACAACTGGTAAAAAAGGCCACAACTAAGCATTGGGATTTGGGGCCCTGTTTGGCAGCAGGAGCGCACACTGGCTAGGTGGGATTCGATTTGTCCAAAGTGAGCCCAATTCTCTGATGGTGCTACTGCAATTCAAGAGAAACACATGAGTAACTCTTTGTTCTGCTCCCCCAAGAATAAAGGATCCTTACGCTGGGACTGGGACACCACTTTAGCGCGGCTGCGGCCTCGGGTGTCGGCAGGCGTGGAGGTGACACTGGTGGCACTGCCAGAGCTCTGCCTCCTGGTGCGGATCCGGCCTGGAGGGATGCAAACACAGTCACACTGTTAACAAGGCTCTTACAAAGGCAGCAGCAGCAGTGTCTAACACACTATGCACACAATAAGCCAGGGTACAAAAGAAATTTTCTGGGAGAGGCAACACCTTTTATTATGCTGGCTGAGATGCAGGGGAGGGAGTGGAAACAGCCACAGCCCATAATCCAAAATCTTCTCTGCTTTCTGTAATGCTATCAGCCAGTTTAATTAAAAAAATATTACCTCTCCATAGCTTTTGCTCCTGTTCTATAGTAGCTTCTTTACAAGGGATCAACAACAAAAAATTTCAAGTCTCCTAAACGCAGCTTCCTGTATCAAATTATTACTTTCTGACAAGGTGATCACCCTTTCAGAGACAGGTGTGACAGATGCCCTCCCAAATTCCATCGCTGGGATTTCCAACTAGCTGTCTGGTGCTTTATATCCTGCTCCACCTGCACAGGCTGGCAGGCACTCCTGTGACAGTCTGTCAACACAGCCTGACCACACTTTTATTTCAGGCTCATTGAATTTTCCCTGCTGTTAACAGGTCCCTCATATTTATCCAAGATCAGTGCAACTTTACTTGTAATGGAGAGCCCTATTTAACATAATCAGTGTTGAGGAAAACAGATTCTGTGTGACTTCTCTTTATTTAAGCAAAGAATGGATAAAAAGTCCCAAAGTGTTCTCAGTCCTTGTTCTGTCCTTTCCTCATGGAAAAGCCACTGAAATTTGAGCTAGGAAAGCTTACGGGGTCATCAGTTCATCCCCTTCCTGGGGTAGGGTTGTTTCCTACAGAATGCTCTTTCCAGTGCAATGCTTCAATTATCTGTCTCTAGTTAATGGGAAAGAAATTATAATTAAGAGTAACACAAAGAAAGCCTCCATCAATACTTTTCCACTCAGTTCTTAGCCAAGACTGAAGTTCTTTTCTCAGGACTCATGCCAGTACTATCCTGCATTCAGAGGATGACTTCCAGGCTCAGGCACAATAATGAAAGGAAAAAACCCACAGCAGGTAAGAGAAGTCTAGACAACTGCACCCAGTGGTTATAGATACTCATCTCCTACCCCTCTGTCTCCACCATAAGCATAACAGAGATATATGAACAGGGAAACACACACACTTCCCTCCCAAAAAAACCCACTTCACATAAGGCACACATGCAGGACAAGACAATGGCAAGCAGCCCAGACAGAGCAGTTGGGAGCTATGTTCCTTCTCTGAGCTCTCAAAATATTCATAACATGGTCTGAAAGCTTCTGCTAGACCCAAAGTGACAAGGAGATGCCTAACTTTGAGAAGAAAGGGTAAATTTGTTTGCAAGGGAAAAAGCCTACAGGACAGCTCTACTTTAAACGTCTTTACCAGCACCTAGTTTTAAAAGAGCTGAGTAGGCAAAGTACAGGGAAGTACATTCAAACAAGTGTTTATAGACGAGGAAGGAATCATCAGCAGAAAACTGGGAAAATACAAACAAAACTTTTTAACCACTGGCTCAACTGAACAAGCTCTGAGCAAACCCACGTGGGTCCAACAGCCATAAAACTGGCTGCTGATGTCTTCTTCACCACAAGCAAGGCTGCAGATTCCTCTGCTCTAGGGCATTCTTGCCCCTTACAAAGGGTCAGCCTGATGCACTGCCAGAGGCAAGCTCTAGAGCTCTCTGCAAGGCAGATCCCACCCCGTGCGAGTTTGGCACAGCTCCACACAGGTGAGCAGAGCCACCCTGTCACTTTTTGATGAGGTGGACCCAAAGCCCAACACAGGCTCCAAGGCAGGCAGGCATGGGGAAGGAGGCAGGCAGACATCATGCTCCTCTCAGAAACCTCAAGGCTTCCCTTCACTTCTGTCAGGAAGGCGTCACAGTAAGACAAGAATTTAAACCTGACCATCTTAGGAACCAGCAATGGAATTAATTTACATCCTTCCAGAAGGCCAGTGGGAGGCCTTGGCATTGCAGGAAGTCCTAGGGGGAAATCAAGCTGAAATTCAACACTACACAGTAACAGGCAGTACTGGAAGACACATTTAGTGATGTGCATGGGCCAAGAATGGGTGAGAAAGGACTGATGTCTCCTCCTCTTACACAAAGGCCACTTAAGACCCTCAAAATTTTCTGGATTTTTCTGCATCTACGCAAGTTGTTTTTTTTTTTTCTTGTATCTTCATCATTAGGTGACTAAGAAGGGGAAAACTGGGATAAGATGTGTGACTTTTCCAACTTATGAAAAACAAAGTCTAAAATAATATATGAAGTGGAACTGAGATTCTGAAACCATTTCTAGAGGCTTAAAAAAATTAAACAGAACTAAGAGAAACTTAATTAACATGTGATTATCAACAGGACTGGAAGAAGAAAACTCAGCCCTATTTTGAAACACATGAGGGCTGGTGGACAGATTCCTACCAATTTCAGCAGTTTCTGAATGAATGAACACATGCCCAGGAACAAAATTCTGCTTCCTTTTGGACTGGTACATTTGCACACTGATTTAGGCCTACTGGGTGTCAGAGAGAACAGTGTGAGAGGAGACGCTCTTCTTCCATAGTCAGAACAGAGTCCAAATGCTGATACAGATTTTCTCATCCTTCAAAAAATGCTGACAAGCATTTGGACTAACACTGCACTGGACTTGCCTTGTGCAAATGGATTTTTAATATATATTATACCAAGTACAACCTGCATATATAGTAGGTAATACATACAACACAAATGTGGCTACTACATTCCCCCAGGAATTTCATTTGCAAACAAGAATCTGCACTCACATCCAAGAGATATTTGCACACAGGACTATGTGTGTGGTTTTATCTCTATCATTCTAACCCAGACATAAAAACTCATTTCGAGCAGGACTGGAAATATAATATCAAGTAAGCTATTTAGAATGTTTCTTGTTCTTAAATTCAAGCAAACACCTCCCCTCCCAAAACTTCTTTGCTTTCAAGTGGGTTTGTTTCCATATCTAGTTCAAACTACAGATGTAGCAATCCATATTTCACAACCATTATTTTTCTGCTGCTTTTAAAAGTATTTCTGCATTCGAACAACAACAGCACAGCAATGGAATAGATAAAGACTGCCCCAAAATGGTTTCCAAAAACCATGAAACTATTTCCATAAAAAAGCTCTTGATCTAAATTTGACATGTGACACAGTGCTGTTGGTACAGAAAAGATTTTGAAAGATTCCACATAAATGTGTTAAGAAACCATTTCTGGATTTTTAAGAGGTTTTGGTTTTATTTTTTAAAGTTATTGTCATTTTTACAACTATGGTTCAGAATCAACCCTGAAATGTCTAAGAAATGCCTAAAACTAGAAAGGTTGTTTTGTTTTGTTCTTTTTCAGAAGAGGAACAAATTAAGGAAGATTCTACGATAACATTTGTGCTTTACAAGAGGCTTCACCTGGCAGGTTGAGTCCTCTGCGTGGATACTGCAGTATCCCCACCCCCAGTGCACAGAACAGCTAAAGGCTTTGTGACACTTAGTCTGCATATCACACTGAAGAAAATGGTTTTCAAATAGTCTAGAAATGGTATGCAACAGCTTCACAACTCACTTTAATGAATTCCATGCAGTGAATAGAGACACCTACAACCACACAAGTTATACATGGACTCACTGGGGCAATGATGGTCTCTCCAGGAATCATATTAATGCATTTAGGTTACCCAACACTGGGGTTTTTGCCCCACTTGGAGAAAAACATTCCTGAAAGAGCCTCTAACCCTAGCTGTATCACTGCTAAATAACACACGGGCATGGGAGACACACACAGAAATCAACTAAAAACATAGATAATATTTAAAGAACTTTTTACAACCTCTATCAGAATGGTTTCCATGCATATTTAGCACTTCTGCAATGACAGAAAGACCTGACTCTGCACAATGATTTTCCCTGAGAGGCACTTGATCCTTATTGGAAACCATCAGGCTGTGCTGCCTCAGGGTTTTACATGAGATCTCCCTTCAAAGCAGAGGGCTCAGTGAACACTCCACTTTACCCTACACAAACAAACACAGCCAAATCAACTCAGCAGTTGCAATGGGATGGAGCAAGAAAAGCAAAAAACCTACTACCCAAGCAATTCTGTGTAAGGTACCACTGTCAGTCATGACTTTGAATCAAGCCTCACTCTTAAGGACAAGGGACAGCTTTAAGGCAGAGAAGAAAACAGGAATGGTGATTTCTTTCAACTTGTGTTACTCCTAAAGCCTTTGATAATGCACTCAAGGTGTCTACCTGAGCCTAAGTTATCTGAAAACTGTAACAAACCCCACTTTATTGCCTTTCTGGTGAATACAAAAACTATTAAAAATGTGCCACTGACTGCAAACTGCTGATTTTGTTGTGAGCTTGCCAATCACAGGTCAAACCACCATTTATGCTTTCCCATTTGGAGAAAGGCTTTGTCTGAAGGGCTTGACTTCATGCTTGCTTTGAAAAAAAAGTAACACAAATACTCTGAACCATTCTAATTAATGAAAGCATTATGCAGCCTTTTAAAATATTACTTGAAAAGCTGTTTCATGATAAAATAAGCAGAAACTTTTCTAATGTTTTCTTTTTAGTCAGGTATAACAAACATGGCACAAAGGCCACCTCCCTAGCAGCACTGGCTGTGAAGATCAAGACTGTAAAGGTTTATCTCTTTCTGTGTGTAAAGCCCTTAATGCAGTTCAGAAGATCCCCATGCATGAAGAGTCTGGGCAATCAAGGCAGATCTGTGCACTGCATGAAGACCTGCACGAACCTCACTGGAATACAGACTCACCTGCCTTTCCATAAGGAGGTGCATTCCTACAGCATTTGCCAGTTGTTGGGATGTCACAATTTCAAACCAAAGGACTGATACTCAGCTCTTAGCTGGCATTCTTGTACTGACATCACCTACTCTATCTTGTTCCATGAGGAGAACCAAGGGCAAAGCAGAAGGGGACTGCCAAGTCCACACAATGCTGGCTCCCAGCTGAGGGGAATGATCAGGATTTTACAATGTAGCTACAGAAAGCCATGATGGGAACCAGACTGCAGATTTAATGTCAAGCTGAACCACACAAAATAACACAGGAATTTTCTCTTAAATTACTTACTGGTGACATGCAAAAAACCCCAAACAAACCACAGGAGCACGACTGTAGATGACATTTCTGCTTTATGTCCTGTTTCCAGAGCAAGAGGATGTTTTTTCCTAACCCCACCCTCTTAATTTTTACATTTATGTCAAGAATACAAAGTTTTATCTTCCCTGCGGTTCCTGAGTCAATCTGCAAGATCACAGAGTTGGCAGAAGACCTTACTCAGTTTCATTATTCAGTGAAGGACACACTCAATCCTGAATAAAGGGTTTTTTGCCTCAACTACCTCAAAGGAAAAAGATGAAGAGTTTCAAACAGTGATTAAACTCATTCCTGAAGTACTCTAGCTATAGCATACTGAGTTTTAATTCTCCCTGATCCTCCTCATCAAAGAAGAGAGAATCCTACGGCAAAAAAAAGGGATAAGACTTGGTATCTAAAACTGAGGGGACAGCAAACTCAGTTTCTGAAAGTTCATCTCTATCTTCCCTGCCCCAAGCAACTTGCTGGCTTCTATTACAGATTTTTACCAAATCCAATCTGCTCCTAATGTAACTGAATTGAAAACAGTAACCAAATAAAACCCCCACCCTTCTGCATCATGACAATAAAGTATTTAATAAACTAAAAATAGAGGTATTGCACAGGACAGCTGTTGTAACAGGCCTCTGCAAACATTATTACAGCCAAGGAGAGGATTGAAAGCTGGTATTTCATATAAAACATTAAACCCTCAACATTTCAAATGTAGGCCAAAAATAGATAGGTTTAAGAACTAAGACAAAAAAAAAAAAAAAAAAAAAAAAGAAAAGCATCAACAACTAAAAAGAAAGGAAGAATAAAAGAGATCAGTTATTACAACAACCTGGAATTTTCAGCTAACTCATGCCTGATTTAGAAATACAGGTCTCAGGTGAACTTCATATTCCTTATCACTGACAGATCACAAAGCAAAAATACTTCCTGCTCAAGATGAGATGTAGCTCCTCTCTCAACACTAAGTACCATTTCCAAAAATGGTACAGACCTTTTCTTCCAAATAATAAATCAACGTGTCACTAATAGTAAAGAAAATAACACAGATGTCACAACAGCACAGTGGCACTTCTCAGACCACCACATCCAAATACAAGCAGCCATCAAAGATATGAGCACAGTCCCACAAGACAGTAATAGATCCCTTGAAAAGAGACTTGCACTGGGGAAAAAAAGGCTTTGCTGCAGAGTGTGGTATCTCCGTTCTGTGTAGAAAACATTTTTGTTTCCAACTGCTGTCTACCTCAGAAAAAGTAATTTCCCAGTGATCTTTTTTTGCTGAAGAAATAAGAAATAAAGAGCAAGTTTTGACAACGAGCCAGAAAAACAGACTGGGATCCTTCCCAAACTAGCAGGCTCAGTGTTCTAGTATAAAAAGCCTTTCCTCCAACTGTCTTTGGTGTAAGCCATCTCACTCAGACAGTTAGCAACAAAAAGAGAGAGGTCAGGTTTAAAGAGGTTGACTAAATATTCCTTCCCTAGAGATCATTGTTTACTGTCCTCATTTTTCTGCCATGTGATCATCTCATTCAATTCTCTCACTGCCCAGTCTCTTCCCGAAAGCATTTGGCAGTTGTGACCTGAGCTTTGGATGGAAAAACACAGCAAACCTTTACACATCAAGGAGAAAAGAAATCACAAGCCTTGTGTTGTCTGGGAGTTTTTTGGGTTTTTTTTTGGTTGAGGTTTTTTTAGTCAATACACAGGTCACCTTGAACCAGAAGCAGAGCTTTAAAATAGAGAAACCCACACAATAACTTAGTGACCAGAGTCATAAAAGCAGACTAATGGTTTTTAGTAGGGAGGAGCTCAAAGAGAAAGTGAAGAATACCCCATGGCATCAAAATGAGCAGGACAACCATGCAACACTTCATGCAGGTCACCAGTGAACATGGATGAGAACCAGGTAACACTTTGAGAACAGAGACCAGGTAGGGTAGAACGACTGTGGACACACCTCAGTTACACAGAGACTGCTTACCCTCAGGTTTACTGGTAGTACCATCTTTAGGCAAATTAAAGAAAAGTAAGGACAGGGTTAATAGGGAAAAATCAGTAACATCAACAGAAGTGGGCACTATATATTAGCTAAATAAATATGCAAAAAAAATTAATACAATTAAAGAAATGAAAAAAGTTGGACCAAGCAGCAAATCAAACCTTGATGTATCAGAAGGAAACACTTGCAGGTTTTCCCTCCTGCAACAACCAACCTTTGCCCAACTCCATTTCATTGTTTGCCTCTCCATTTCTCTTATGGAAATGTGCAGGTGATAAATGTCCCTACTAGCTAAAAAGGAAGCAGGATCCTTCAGGAGCAGCCATGCTTGCATCACTCAAGAGTGAATTTGCTACTTTTCTCTTAGAGCCTGGTTAAAGAACAAGACTGACACTGGATTCGGTCTATAAGCTTCAAGGACCAAGTCACCTCTAAGCAGATAATTCCTCCCTCTTCATTCTTCCTTATGAAATAAGACTGTTTGAAGCCAGTTTAGCCACTGAAGCCAGAGTGCAGCACAACTCAAAAGTGGCTGCATCTGTAAGCCCACCATCATGGGATCAACTTCACATTCTGTAATTACACTTCCACTGCAATGTATCTGCATCTTGAACCAAGTAAGAACAGTTTAAATCAGAGTAAGAATTCAACTTCTGAGCTGAATACAGCCAACACACCTAAACCAAGGTAGAGCATTTCAGATGTGAAAGAAACCTGTCTGAAAATCGAATCCATAAAAATCATCCCTATATAATTCACCACTTACTTTTTAACAGGTTAAAGAGCAAATGCCCTACACTGAAAGAAGAAACTCCTCGACCCCTCTCAGTGAAGACAATGTACACAGCTTAAATCAAGAGCACAGACTGAGTTTCTTCCCTGTTGTAAAGGTAGACCGATGACAAGTCTGGGATTAGATTAGTGTGAAATCAGCAGAATGAGGAAGGAGCTCAGATGATCAGCTCTGCTCACAACTGAGATGAAGCTCAGCAAATACGATGTCAATGACTGCCTTGCATTTCCTCCTCCGTGACACCCTCGATGGCAACTCCAGGAGAGAAAGATCCAATGCAAAGTTTGTTTTAAGAAACCCTGAGACACCTGAAGGCGATACACAATGCTCTGAGGGAATAATGTGACATGTGGCTATAATCCAAAGAGTCAGCATAAGGAACAGATAGATACTTATATCCTGTCTGATGACATGGCAAGGCTGACCTCCTCTTTGCTTCTCCATGTTTCTCCTTTGTGAAACAGAAAGGGAGCAAACTCAACTAAGATGTACTATTCAAAGCATAAAACAATGGAAAAGCAGTTTCAGGAAAGGAGGGAAGGAAAAGAAGGAAAAGAGACAGAGGAACAAGTCAAAAGGAATTGAGTAGCACTGTCCTCAATCTGTGAGACGCAGATTATTACACAATTCAAAACTGTTGCTTCAAGTCACTTCAGTTGTTTATTTTTTTTTCCTTAATCCCAAAGGGCAAGAGATCACACACTGATCCTGGAGAGCTGGTAACTATCTCAGAGGCACGTTCTTCTAGTCAGAGTTTATTATTCCAATAAAACTGCGAGGCACTAAAGGAAGCTAACTGCAATTGTAGAACAGTAGATTTACCTAGTGACGCGTATGACCCTGGGGGCAAGGCTGCAGCAGAACTGAAGGGGGTGGATGCTCCAGCAGACGTCACTTTTGACTTGGCACTAGCTGCTGCATTCACATCGACGTCACTGCGGGATCGCTGCAGAGATCCTGGTGTTGACACAGATTTTGTACTTACTGTAGATGCTGCAGATGGGAGTGGGAGATCCAGAATAAAGAAGATTAATTTTTTGAGCTGTGTGCTTCAAAGAGCCTGACAAGCAGTTTAAAGTACTATTTTTAACACTCCCTGCTGGCACTGAAATACCTCAACTAAGAATGCTTTATCAGGGCAATGTGGGCTTCCCCACACTGCCTGCAAAGATATTTCATCAATACTGCCCTGATACTACCTTTAAGAACTTGATAAAGTTCTAAAAGCTTAAATGATAAGATAAAAAGGCTGTCAGGCCAGTAAAAAGAAATTTCTAACAGAGTCTAGATGGGAAAGTTCAACCACAGTACCCATCACTGACACGTGAGAGTTGCTGGCCAAAACAGACCTGCAGGTCCTTCAGTCCAGGTTCTAATAACTTCCTTCCCAACACCTCATCTTCTCATGAGGATCGTTGTTCCCATCACTTGTTGATGCTCACCCTCTTAAACATGAAGCTTGACTACTCAGCTGCAAGCAAACATGCATTTGTGTGCACAGTCAAGTAGGTTACACAACAACATCTCCTTGAATCAAAGGTATCCGTAGTTAAAGAAAAACCAGCCAGAAACCCGACCTTGGTCAGGTGTAAAAGGCAGCTTATCTTTTACCAACAAAGTTTTGTCTATTATATTCTATATTAAAATGCATTATTTAGATTATTGTATGCATTTACTTAGGACAGAAAAGCTGTACCTAAATATTCCATCTGACAAGAAAAACAGATTAGCAATGAGATGGAAATCAACACTGTAGGACTTGTGTGTAGACACCTCCAGTAAGTGCTGAAACCACAGAGAATAAATAACAAAAATTGTAAAACTGAAGGCACTATTAGACTAGGTAGCTGCAAGTCTTAGCATCAGCAGCAGTTTATTCAAGCTATTACAAAGCATACCTTGGCGACAATTTTCAAAGCTTTTTATGCTTCCCTTCAAGCGTAAGAAATTATTGATTTACTAACTTCTTATAAAAGCATTATTTTATCAGCAGCTGATGTGCAGAATATGGTGTAAAATCCAAGAGTAATTAAAATTTCTACATTCTGAGCTGCTGTTTTTTACTGAGCAGTAAACAGTGATCAAAGTTGGTTTTTGATTATCACAATGTCACACTTCCTCAGCAACACCTGAGCACATTTTTCAGCTCCTGTTCTCACCTCTTGATGTTGTACTTCCAGTAGGACTTCTTTTGGCAGACAGTGGACGGCTGGAAGTTAATACAAACACTTACTAAAACAAAAACTTTATATTTCAGTCATCAAGAGCAGTACAATTCTGTTCCCTCAGTACACAATTAAGTTAACAGGAAATTATTTATATGCAGGAATAAACTACCAAAGCTTGTTGTTCAAGAATACAGCATCACCATTAAATTATTTATAAAAGCATTAAGAAATAAATTAGTACTCACATTATTTGTAAAAAAAAAAAAATAAAATTTTTAAGAACATTTTTTGTAGAATTAAAAAGTCACACCAGTAAGTTACGGATATTTTCATATAGGTCTTACACTTAAATCACACACATTTGGAGACTAAGTTGACTGTATATCTGAGAGTAGATAAAATACATAAAAGTTACATATTGATTCTGCAGTTACAACTCAAGTTTGTAATTTCTTTTCTTTTATCTGGAAAAAGACAGACTTAAACCTCTAGGATTAATGCTTAAGGCAGAACTTCAATCTAAGCCCTGTTTTAAGCACCTGAAAGGAATAACTAACATTATCTGCTGAGCACAAATACTTCCTAGAAAACTATTTATGGGGTCAAGATAATAATTATATTTTAAAGCTAGTACAGGGTTTTTTTGTTCATACAATGTTGGGTAAAAAAACCCCAAATAAACAAACAAACAAACAGATCTATTTTGGAGTAACCAAGTATAGAGTGCAAATAATGACCAGATGAGCCAAAGCAATGTGATGGCTCCCTTCAGTTTAATGGAGCTGTCTGTCAGCAGTTGGTCAGATGGAGAGGCAGTGACACAGAAAGCCTTACTTGAGACTCTCCTGGGAGCTGGAGGAGGAGCGATCCGATTGTGGCAGGGACACGATGCTGTCAGAGTTCTTCAGGTGGGACTGCAGGGCCTTCTGGTAGGAAGACTCCAAGGTGTGGTACAAATGCTCAGCCTCTCTGCTGAAGTGACTGTGGAAACCCCAGTAGCACCTGGAATGAGGCACAGCACTGTGAACACCCCCTTGTCATCATGCTTTAGGGGCTGTGGCACAAAGGCACAGCCAGGGCCCTTCTCACTATACCCATCAGTGGGGCCAATGCCCAGCCATTTCCAAGCTCCTACTGCCCTGACACATTTAAGACAAACAGCTTTTTCAACCATTGTATTGCTCAAACAGCTGCACAAAGACAAAGCAAATAAAAAAACCATTTGGTGCATTTGTTGTAAAAGTAGGAGTGGCCAACAAAGCTGCATTAGGGAAGAAGCCCTCATCCCCCCAGCTGTCTACTGCACATGGGAGACTGCAGGCCCACCAGACTGACACTAGTTTGGGACTGGGTGTGCAGCAGCTACTTCAAAGCCTGCCAAAGGCAGAACATACATGAATGGGCCTGATTGAAGAAAACACCAGCTGCTGTTTCCTTTCTTAAGTTTAACCAACAGGTCCCCAAGAATGCTGCAGAGACATGTCTCTGTACTGAGTTGAGGCTGCTGCCTGTCTTTTTGGAAAAAAAAAACAAAAAACAAACCAACAAGAAAAAGGAAAGAGATGCTCACGTGCACTTCAAATCAGTGCCATGATGAAAATAAAAGAGCATTTTAAGATGAGGGAAAAATTCCTCTATGGTCCAAACCTCCTGGCTGATGGCTAAACACCATTCACTCTTGAGGCACAAAGGAGATGAAGACTCTCAGTACTTTTCAAGGGGCAACTAATGGGCAGTTCAAAAGTAAGATCATCAGATCAAATGAATCAAGAATTGTTTGCGTGTGACAGTCAGTCCTCAGAGAAGCCACATGCACTCTCCCATCACATGAAGAAAACAAATTTCTGTCTCACAATCAGCCACACTACTATTGAATAAACATGGGAAGAGAGAATTAAGCATGCTCTCTGAAGTCCCATGCCATTCTCCTTGCTGTCTATTCAGCTTAACTAGTCACCTGCTGTGAAGTCTCAGTGACTACTGTAATTTTCAGTGATGGACATGCTGCCTTTCAAAAGGATTTAAGCATCCTACTGTGAAACACCACTGCTTAAAACACAGCATTTAGATTAATAAAATGTATTATTCATTGTTTTTATGTTTTACACTATCCTCTTTCTGCAGAAAAACGTTCCTGTAGTGTTCTGTTCAGAAAAACAGGACCCTGGTACACAGCACACTACTGTAAGTATGATCATACTAATGGAAATGCATAAGATCTTCAAAATAATAAAATCAATTGCAAATATTAAAATTTCCTATATATATACACAATTTTTTTTCACTGTCATAAAATACTACCTTAATTTAGGATACCATTTAGCAGTGTACTAGCACAAGGACTTTGATATCAGGAGTAGCAAATAACAATAGAATAGGCTACTTCAGTGGGATGGGACCTCTAAGAGACATCTAGTCCAGCTGCCTGACCAATTCAGAGCTGACCAAAAGTTGAAGTCTGTTGTTAAGGACATTATCCAAGTGCCCCTGAATCAGGCCTGGGGCATTGACCATTTCTGTAGGAACCCTGTTCCAGCGTTTGACCCCTCTCTTGGTAGAGAAATCTTTCCTGATGTCCAGCCAGAACTTCCCCTGACAGAGTTTTAAAGCATTCCCACCTGTCTATTACTAGATCACAGAAGAAAGGATCAGCACCTCCTTCTCTGTTTCCCCTCCACAAGGAACTGTACAGAATGGTTACCCCTCCTTTTTTTCCATCAACTGGGAAGTCAGGAGAATGTATCTTAACTGGATTTTTGTCTCAACTACTCAGTATCACTGACTCATAAAACAGGGACAAAGAAGGGGAGGAAGAAGAGACACCAACAACAGCTTCCACTTACTTTCTTGCCTCTATCCTAGCTTCAGAGTCTGCATCATGAATTCCCTTCTTTATTGTTTCAGCCAACACTGATATGTGTCTGAAATAAGAAAGAAAGTATTATCCAGCAGTTCAGAAAGATGTGCCACACTTATAAAGAAATGACTAATTTGATTTTGCCTTGGTTTCTGAGAACAAACAGTTCACTACATCCTTTCATTGCCATCAAGGATCTTTTGTGCCCTTTATTTATTTATTCTTACAAGTCAGTTTTATTTCATCTACACTGCTGTCTAGGAAACAGCAAGCAGCATCCTTCACAGACCTTTACTTAACTATCCAAACTGCCTTGATTCTAGAACAGTCTTCTAACCCCTAAATAGTCTTGTGCACTCTAGGGCTCAGCCTCTCTTTGCACAATTACTTCAACTGGTCACTAGTCTGAAGTAATGTAGACGTCTCAGAAGCTCCTGATAAGACATGCAGCAGACTTCACCTCACCATCTCACTTCAGGGTGCAAAAGGAAAAAAAAATTGTTAAACAAAAGTTATTGAGTTCAGGGATTTGCTCAGCCAGGTTTTCCAAGGCTGGCATAGGAGACATACTCACCAGACTCTGAGAGAACTACAGAACAAACAGTGTATGTGCATACGTGCTGGTTTTGGGTGGCAAAAACATCTCTACTACAGCTACCTACTATGATCTTCTCTTCTAAATGATCCTTTCTCCAGAATGACCCAGGAAATTATCTCCTTCTCCCCAGATAAGTAGGAGAGAACAAACTCACTTGTATTCAGAACTTACCTTTCTAAGGAGTGTGTTTGCCACTCCTGCAACAGCAAGTCTAAAAATTCAAAGCAGCGCCTGAGAAAAGAGAGAAGAACTGCTGAGTTTAAGTCAATTGGGGCACACTGGCTTTGCCATACCTGACTGTGAAAAACAGCCATGTTTGCTTAGGAAGCGTTTTGGGATGTCAAAATTCAGTATTAACCCTAATAAAAATATCAACAGCTCTAAAATCATTAATAAACAGTCAGAAGTATTAATTGGAGGCAGCTTGCTACAGGGAAGTGTGAAGAGAGGAATTGCCATAAAACAATCCTGGAAGCTTCCTTTTTCATTAAACAGGATAAGGCCCAGGAGATGGACACTGACACTCTGTACCTCTTAGTCCAGGCTTCACACAGAAACCTCACAGTTTGCCTCACGTGGGGAGAGACCTTCCCACTTTACTCTCCCTTCCTCACTTCAAGAACCTTAAGGCACAAGTGTGCTGAAATGTGTTCAAGGTTTGTCACCAAATACAGCAACCAAAAAGCCCTTCCTCTTGTCCAACTCAAAGAGAGCCAGTTAATGCATAAGGAGGAGACAAGAGTCTCCCAGTGAGGTAGTGGACTGAAGCACTTAGATTCCAAGTGCAGAAAGGATCATTAGACCATTCAGTCCAACTTCCCTTCCAGATGATGTTTTGCTGTAAGAATGATTTACTGGCTCAAAGTAAACAAGCCACTCTAACAGCCAGCGGTGGGAAATAGGAACGTGTCTGTAAAAATGCCAACATAGTATGTTGTTATAACAACATGTAAGGACAACAATTAATTTAAAAAACATTTCTTCTTGTGGAAAAATGCCTTTTCCTCTCTGCAGTGATGCAGTTTGTGCAGGATAGCTGACTTTGAATTTGAACTCAAATCAAGGACAAGAATGAGATTCATGTTATAGTAAGTGTTTGCAACCCTTTTCACAAATAACAACAAATACATTCACATTTTCAGAAAGCATCTATTTACTAGGAAAAACCAGTAAATGCAAACTAAATTCTCACCTTCTAACTGCAACAGACTTGGAGGTACAATTACTGGTTATGATGGGTATTAACCGAGGGATGTGCGTGTGCTGGAAGTAAAGAAACAAGAACAGGAAGAAATCTTTACACAACAATTCCACAGAATGAAAGACCATCTCTTTCAGCCACCTGAGCCCATTTCTCAGATCCTTATTGTTGCTCAATGCTTAAAAATGGAACTGCTAGATAAAGGAACACTAACAGATATGGACAGATTTTTAATATCAAAAATACTTTACAATTTATCAGCTAAAACACCTTTAACAAATACTTGATTTTCTTCTATAACGACACTCTCTAGTGAGTCAAGTAGCTGAAGTCACTGCAGGAGGATCTGAACTGCCAATGGTGACAATTTTAGAGACATTAGGCTACCTACAGCTTACCCAATGAATCACTAGGCAGAAATCACCACTGTGAGCTAAGACTTTTGAGAAACATGGACTGTCTGTGAGGTATTTTAGAGCATAATGAAGAGGATAAGTCTGTGCTGCAAGGCTGGTCTAACACCCTTTCAAAGAAAAATGTTTGCTCAGCTCTTAGAGAGATGGAAATATCTTGCCCTGCAAAAAGAAACATTTCCCCTACTATCTTGGCAGAGCTTAACAAGCATCATCTGCACAAGGCTGCAGAACATCTGAAACAGCCAAACCCAGCACTATCAGAAAAGTAGATTAGGCATGAATCTTATTTTTATTGCAGCAGCATTCATATTTCATCAGAAACACTGCAGTGTTTGGAAATTATAAAACTGTTCTCTTTTGATGTATACTTACTCGAATGATTAATCTAACTGCTACAACACCAGAAGTGGCCATGACTTTGGCACTATTTGGAATTAGGTTAAAAATTGTTGGCATGATGGCTTCTGCCCCATGGTCAAACTTGTTTCCCAGAACTGATGACAAATGTCTGAAAAACAGAATGAAGTCATGCTGGTAAGTGAGCTGAAGATAAAGCAAGTCAGACTTGTACAGAACATGTGACATAAGCACATCTGACATCTCAATCTTTGCAACTGTCACCTCCTCTCCAACTCCAAAGGACAGATAACACCATGTTTCAAAAAACAGTTCCTTTCCTTTCATTTCAAACTTGTGTCCTGTGCTCATCTGAACCCTGAGAAACAGTAAGGTCAGCATAAAATAAAGTAACTAGCATAGCTAAAAATTTGTTATCAAACAAATGGGATGAAGGTGATAGAATATTTTTGTTAGTTTATATTACAACTTCTCTGAAGCTCTCTATTTAAAAAAAAAAAAAACATGTCAGAAACCATGTCACTGCAGCACACTTTTTCTTGAGTATTTCACAAAGGATAGACCACTGGAAATAAAAACTAGCTCAATCTGAACCAGAACAAAACATAAACATTTCCAGCTTTATTGTTCAGTGCTTCCCTACTTGTGCATGAAGGCATAGCTTGCTCATTCATTCTGTGCATCCCACATCAGCATTGTTTAGTATTTAGGAACACAGCTTGGCAGAATTACAATTAGTGGCCTACATGATGGAGTTTCAAACAGATGCAGACAAGTCATATTCTAGCTTTAACTATTTAGCACTAGCTGCATCCTAATTGTGTTTTAACCAATGCCTGTTCCTTTTCTTCTACATCCCATTTTAAACACACACAGAAAATAAACTCACCCCAAGGTGATACAAGCCTCTCTGACAACTTGAGAGCGCAGGTCTTTAGCAGATAATTTAAATGCTCCATCCAAAAGTCTTAAGTGCTGGAAGAAGTTATCATATTCTGCAGCTCCAGCCAAAAGTAAGGAGCGGATCTTTTTCAACTGTTAGGAGTATAAAGAAATCAGTGACTGTTAATGAGCAGCAAATAAAAGGACAGCTCAAGACCAATACCTGGTTCCAGGTTTCTTTGTGCAATTATTCATCTACATGCATTGAGGAAGTTGATTCTTGATGTCCAAGCAATTTTATTATTTCCTATCTTATATTCAACCCATGGTTAGCTAACATACTAAGTACAATAAGCTAAACATCCTTGCTAACTTACAGAAATCCAGAAGTGTTGCATTCAGCTATTCAAATTGTATCATTAATAACCCAAACAATATTTTTTTTAAACTAAAAGGTATATTTAACATTCCCCTTTGCTCTCTTATTTACAGCAGCTTCTAATGTTTAGGTAATCTCACAGCTGACTCTTGTGTTTAAAAGATATCTAGACTTAAAGGGCATGGTTCACACTCAGGCCCGGGTAATAATGACTTATACCCAGAATGTGTCCATTGACTTCATTAAAACAGTTATCTGGCTCTAGCAGAAGGGGAACCTTGACCCCATCAAAATGGGAAATTTCCTATTAATATTACAGGGACCACCATCTCACCCTACAGACAATCCTCTGACACCTTCACAGGCCCTCCCATGCACCAGTGCATCAGCACATGGGCTCAATTTCAGCTCCCTGTTACTCAGTACAGAAATAAAATTAAACGGAAGTAAGCTGAATCAGCCCAGTCTGCCACTCAGATCTGTAATACAAGGTCTGACAGACATGGCAAAGCTGCTACACCAGTGATGAAAGTCTACTGTGTAGACAAGACTGTGCATCTATTTGTATCATGAAAACACAGCTCACCTCAGTAAATAGTATTTGGTCTTGACATGCATATAACATCCAATTTTCCACACTTCCCACAGTCATATTTATTTATTGAAAACTTAAGTGTGTAGATTGTTGCTGAATTATTTTACACCTTCCTTTTGCAGAAGTATAAATAAGTTCTCTCTAAGCAAAGTAATTTTCTGCCTTATCAGGTAAGTTTTAAAATATTCTGAGTAAGACTTGACATTTTGATTTTAGCACCTGCTAGCAAATTTCTAGCTTTGAACCTGGATTTGCTGCACAACTTCCAGTTCAACCTGATGCTGTCTCAACAGACTCTTGTATACCAAATAGCAATTTCCCTCACAAATGTGGCTTAAATTCAGTCTCACAAGGAAACATTTCCCTCAAGTTTGGTGGAACACAACAGGTGCTCACCACTAAAACTGCATTCCAGCCTTAGTCCGAGGTTTTCTCAGTACCCTCAGTGGGATTAAGCTCAGTGTAGAAAAAGCTTCTATTAATAGAGATCCTATCTAAATTCACTACTTACCGCAGAAACTCTCTGTTCCCAGTCATGTTTATCATCTGATAGGATCTCTCTGATCTTGTTTATGGATTCCTCAAGATCCCGGCTGGAATAAATCTACAAATTGAAATACAGAGTAGCACCATAATGCAGGATTTACTCCATAAAATCAGATTATTTCCCAACTACATTCTTATGTCCTTTGCACCTCAATGCTTAAACATCATGTGCTAGCCTTGGACACAACTGACTTCTCGCAATGCATGGAATTTATACCCATTGCCTGCAACTAAAAATTTAAAAATTATCACGAGATGATTAAAGGATCGTATTGCATTATTTTACTATAGTTTCACAATTTTAAGCAACATTCCTGCAGCTACTAGTGGCTATATTAGTCAAAACCTACAGAAGATCATGAGTAGACACATGTGCTGTTCAGCAGTCCCAAATATAAGGCTCCAGTGAAGGAGAGGGGATACATGATGCATCTCAGCTATCCAGCTAAATCAGCAAACATGCAGTTTTCACACTCACAACAGCAGTGCTCCCCAAGACACAAGTCACCTTTACAGCTTTCAGTTCCCAGAGGGTTTCACATAAACTACTAGCACACCCCACCATTTAAAACCTGCCTCCCTTCAACTTCTAACCTGCTTTCCCCTTAAAGATTTGCCAACATCACAATGAAGCACAATTTACCAGTGATTAGCATGAGATCCTATATCCACCTTCTGCTTTTTAGTACAGCATGGTTTAACAGTTAACTCTACTTACCTGAACTGTAGGGACATCTTCAAATGCCTTAATGAAGTCTTCTTCATCCACAGCACCTGCTCCCTCTTTGGCTGCTGACACACAAATGAAAAAGGCTTTTCAATCTTGTTATCAACAAGAGAATCAATTAAGAAAGCACCAGCTATCAAGGCACTTAATCAGGAGAAAGTTCACTACCCATGCAGCCTGGGAGTGCTGCAGATGTAATGAAAGCAGAGGCAGGGAAATTCAATGCCAGGCACTGGTGACATTCATGGCATCCTTCAACTCACAGGCACACAGGGCACATTAGGGAAGTCATTACAGTAGTCACTCAACAGTTAGGGGACACAGTCTGAAAGATGAAAGGGAATACTTACTTTAATTATATGGGAGACTTTATTTTAAAGGATTTAATCCCATCTATAATAGATGAAGGTGGAGATCTGACAGGTGCACAAACAGACGAATGATAAGGAAGATAAACAGTCTCTGGAATACTAATCAGATTAGAGACTGCCTGATAGAGGGAACTTTCTCCCTTTCCCTAGGACACATATAAAATTAGAGCTACATGTAAAATAATTGCTAACATTCAGAATGACTGATTAGTATCCTTTTTGCACCTTCATTACCAGAAATGCCCAAAGGTCTTAAAAGAAAGCCAGTGTGTCAGGTTTAGACTGCATGGGCTGAAGTGTGGCTATATAGTTTATGTAGCTATAAGCAGCTCCAGTTCAGACAGAGTTGAAACTACAAAGGCAAAAATCTACACACTGGAGCACCAACATGATTTACTCACAACCCTCAGTGCACAACCACACAGGTGCAACCTCTCACAAAATGCAAAATAAATTATGGGGATGTGGGGATTGCTTGGAGATTCATCCTACCAGACTGGCTGTGGCATGCAGAGAACACAGACATAATGACTGCATAAGGAAAAATTTGATACTGGATTCTGGGGGCCAGTCTGGAAGTGCTTGCAAGAAGCTCAGTATAAACACTGTAAATACTTCACAGGCACATTGATTTATACAGGCTATTGGCTTACTTGAAGACTTGGAGCCCAGAGGTGCAGAGCCAAGTCTGCGGGTAGTGCCCATCCCAACTCTGCGTGAGTTTGCAGGGGCCTTTGAAGATGTAGAGGAGCTGGCTGAGGAAGGTCTGTTCCCATCCACGGAGTCTTCATCATCAAAAATTTTATCTGCCAAAAAAACCACACTCAGCTGTAAGACCAATGAAGCAAAGGGATGTCCCAAGGAACATGCCTGTGTTATGGCAAACATGCTACATTTTCCAGCCTGCTCTGCCAGCTCCCATCTCAGCAGTGTCCTCATGCTAAAATCCAGTTAGTCATGGAATGCCACCAGCTCACTGAACCCAATCCTTCACTACTGCAGCCACTATGTTATAAACCATTCAATGAATGCATTCAGATGAAAAGAATGAACTTCAAATCTACAGCAAAAAGATGCAAGCCCCAGAAAATACTTGGGGTGTTGACAGTCTGCAGCTCTCACATTTGTGTCTCCAAGAGCTCTTTTGAAACAGACTGTAGTGAAACTAAGACCACAAGCAAATCCAAGATCCAGCAGCAACTGCCTGCACCAGACCAAGGATAAACAGTCACCCAGGAAAGTTCACATGGCAACACCCATGTTGTTGATGAACCACAGACCATTAATCACAGACCCATCTGGAGCTACAAATCCCCTTTAACTCTTTAACACCAGAGATTCCTTACAAGGAAATACAAAAAGTTTCCCCAAATTCATAAAAACATCATTATAAGGTGCATTAAACCCTATGGAACATTCTGTGTACATCCAACTTCAGCCTCTACCAACAAACATGATCATAAATTAATCAAAAATGAATTACAGCTGCTTTGATTCTCAGTCAAGGTTACTTCAATTCCAAAGGACTGCTTATATTGCAGTTTTACACAGATTAGCTAATTCACTTGAAAAAACAGCCTTAGGTTGAAAGGTGACAAAGCAGTTGGGCAGCTGATATAGATGGAACACGTAATTATTGAGGCCAGAAAGCCAGCTCAGCCCCCATCACTCAGCTTCTCCACAGGAACACTTCATTGAAGATTTGAGATCAGCTTCATGCCCATCCCTCTCCAGCAGCCCAAGGTACACACTCACTCTCCACCAGATTAGGAACATTTCCTTCACAATTTGCACTCGGCAAAAAGTCAAGCAGGTGCTTTAATCCATCCCTGCTCAGGAAAGCATCTGGGGACTTCTAGTAACAAATACAGGCTCCTAGTGAGACACTAATGAGTGAAATTTAATACAGGCTGAGCTTTCTGAAAGTAAAAAAATAACTTGATAACAGTACAGGCATCGTCTTGGGGAGGCAAAAGAACAGGAAGAAAAGCCTGTTTTGTTCTCAGCTCAACCACCTTCAGTTTTCTCTGCCCTAAGTGGCACTGGCTTATTAGCAGCTGGACACAGGAGAACTATCACAGAACATCTAAAAACCTACACACCCCATTTCTGATGTGCAGCAGTGCACATGATGCCATACACCAATCACAACTCAATAGTGACATAGCAGGTACACAAAAGCATCCAAAAAGTGAAAACAGGTGGACAAGGACATCTCTTCATTTTGATGTTTAAGATGTCTTGAAATATGGGAAAGGGCTAGGGGAAAAAAGCAACTCTAAAGGAAAGGGGTAAAATAATAACTGTTGTTCTATTACTGTTATTGTACTGTTGTTCAGGAAAAAGTGAACAAGGCAAAAGTGAAAAGAACTTAGATAAATTTCAGGTCACACAGATGAAGAGAATATAAACCACAATTAGGATGTGGGCTGTCTCTTTAACACGGTGCCTGAAGGCAGCCATGGAGACCATGCTATCTCCCTATTGACACCAGTCTTGTTCTGACACATGTAATTCAAAACTAATTTGAAAAGAGCTTAGGGAACAATCATGAGAATGATTAAAGGATTAGAAAATATGTTTTTAATTCAATTAAATGAAAATTCTCTGCAAGAGATTGTTTAGTCTAGCCAGATTCCTAATAAGTTGCTTGATTATGTTCTGTGTTAACACAGCTACTGAAGATTTATTAACACAGTTTTCCAATGTGATTTAATAATATTGTTTCTCACCTAATAGAAAAATATACAACAAGGTAACTGGCTAGAGGTTAAAAACAAATTAAATTCCGAGTTGCCTTTTTTCCCCTCTCTTCCCCCCTGCTCCCCCCTCAATTTTTTTCAATAATCACAGGGCTGACCCTCTGTGAGGTAGGGAGGTGCATCACCCAGTGAATTCTACCACAGGCAGTTCTTAAAAAAGCAAAACTGAATTTTTTCCCCCCAAAAGACAGTCTAGTTCAAACAGGAATTATTTCAAAAACACTACTTGGTGTGAGTTGCACCAAGGTCAGGGCCGATCAAAATAAGCTTTAAAATGTGTAATCTCTGAAGCCTCTAGGACAAGGTTTAAGTGATTCAGAAAGACTTGGACAGCCATTCAATCCAAAAACTTCAAGCAAAACTTGTTCCAGGTGCAATTATTTCAAAAGCTCCTATATAAATATTTAGCAAACTATCATTTGACATGTGTGTATTAACAGCCAGGAGCAAGTCGGTTATATTCGAAACAAAAGGTACTTTTACTGGTTCATAGCCTCTTTCATCAGGTAATAAAATTCTCCATCAGCTGCATTTCAGACTATCTGGATGAAGCCTTAGTTAACTCACTTCCTCTTCTATATGCATTTTTAAAGCCTCAGCCCGCTGAAGGGAGAAGAGGGTGTGGTTTCCTATTTCATATAATAAATCAAAACTAAAAAAAAATCCAGATATTAAAAGCATTGCACTCCTGTAGTATTTTAGCAACTAAATAGACTATAATTTCTTTCTAAAACAGGCTTTTCTGAGCATTAGCAAAAAACACAACACTCCAAAAATCAAACCAGCCCACCCACAGTTCTGGGGATGACTGGATTACAATCGCATCTTCCTGCTCGTTAAGTCTGCAAACTAAGCATTACATATTTATCAAACCAGAAAACCCCTTCAATAACCCAACAGCATTTTCTCATCTGAGCAGTGCAGAATGACAGCACCACGTTCAGAACTGCACATCAAGTCTGCCAGCAGCACGTGTGCAGAACAGAAAGAGAAACAAAGAACAGAAAGGAACCTGGACACAGGAGTACAGAAAAGAACAGAAAACCAAGCTACTATACATTATTGTTACAAAACCCTTTTTTTTCTTTGCCACCCATTGATTCCTGCTCATAATAATCATTTGAACCAGGATCATATTTTTCATCATATCTGCAAATGGCAAATTCAGCATGGGTGTAACTCTCAGGACAGCAGCTGAGGTGCACTGAAGCAGAATCGGTGCCCCACTCTAACATTAAATAACCATTGACATTCTCCCATCACAAGACACCCCAGTGCTCTTTTATAAGGACCTTACAGTACTCTCTGTCAAAGACATGCCCTTATAAAAGAGGCCTTTGTCTGCTCGCCACTCTGCTGTCTCAGAGACAGAGAGAAGACAATCTGCTTTACGTTTTTCAATTCCTTTACATTATTTAAGAAGAAGAGAAAATTGCTTACAAGTACATATCCTTCTGCAAATAAGCTTCCTCAACATTCCTTCATATTTTCCATAGCGTGCCCAGATGTAAGAGTGCTTCACGGAGCGCCGCGGCTTTCAGTCCACAACATAATCAATCATTGCCCCTCGGATTCATTAAGCATGCTGTCTTCACACGTGGATTTAAACAGCCATGGCCTCTGTCCTCTCTCTCTACGGCTGCAGATCTGCACAATTCTTATTAGCAACACCCATTTCAGCCCAGGAAACTTGGGTTCACTTCTAGGGAGGAAATTCCCTACTAGCGAGGGGAAGCCAGGACAAATAATCCGGGATGAAGATGAGCTGAGTGTGCCTGGCTCGGTTGCCTTGCACTAGGAGCCAGCCTGACTTTATCCCCTGGGAAGCGCTAACAGGAGCATCTCAACAGCTGTCATCATTTGTCCATGACGAATAAATTTAGTCATTATTCATTTTAAAACGTAACCCCTTCAGGTCTGGGCAAGGTGAAAAGTGGGGACAAGAAGCTGCTACTCAGGAACCATGGTAAACAAGGGCCAGCACTTCCCTTGCCTGCACCACCAGCCTGGGACCTTTTAAAGCAGAGCCTCCAATGTCCTTTCCAATGAAAAAAGATGTTTTCTGGCTTTTAAAAACTTTAGTATGTCAGATTCAAATCTTTTAGTTATTTGTGTGTAAGCTTTAGAGAAGACAGATACTCTGTAGTGATGACAGACTGGGAAGAGAGCTTTCCATCATATCTGTTCCTCACAAAGATGCCCTACTATGGTCTTCAGATTCTACTCTGTAAAGGACTAAACTTGTCCTGGGCCCACTGTGCCCACTCATCATCTGTTCCATTTCCAAGCAACAGAGCAGCTGAAACAGGCAGGATGGGTACCTCTTGCATGAATCACCTGCAACACTCTCAGAAGAATCCCTCTTTTGGGTGCAGATGGAAGTGGACAACACCAGAGGAACCTGCCTCCCACCATTCCTATGGCATGCTCCACCAGGAGCAGACAGGTAGCTGCTAAAGCTGACAAACATTACAGCACTTCCAGATTCCATGCTCAATCCCCACTAGGTGGACAAAGCCCAGCTCCCTGAAGATCTGCGAGCCCTTTACAAGCCAAGAACACACACCAGCAAAACTACCAATGCCAAAGGAAACACGGTGTGTTCCTCTTTAATCCTTTCTGCCAGGCACAAGTCCATGAGCACTGGACCATATTTTTGAGACAGACACCCCTTTGACATCTCAGCTCATGCCCTCCCCCCAGGGCAGCATCTGGCACCCCCATCTCCAGCTGTGACTTCTGTTGTCACCCTCTGTTGGGTGTCCAAGCGAGACAGCTTCAGCTGAGGTTAGAAGCCTTTTCCTATTAGCACGCATGAAATCCAGGCATGGGTTAGCTGCAAGGCTGTCCAACTCCAACACAGGTGTTGTAGAGGTTTCTCCAGGAAAATGAGTTTATAAACCCACTAAAGATAAAGAGACATGCATATGGTCCTCAGCAGGATTAAGTGTTTAAAAACAAAGGAGTGGCAGCTACAGGCAGAAGTCCATGGGCACAGCACATCATTAAGGTTTCCTGCTTGGCCATCTCCCAGTGTCCCAGCT